GTTGACAAACACACATCCTGCTGCTTTTCCCTACACACCAGCTCCAACCTGAAAAAATGTCAGGATTGGTCTCAGGAAACGGAGTCATGTCTTCTCTGAAAGGAAGAAAGGACATAAACCCTCCCAGAGATGCCACTGTGGCTGCATTGTCGGGAAGACATCCGCGTTTCCCGCCCAGAGGGAGAAGCCTGGAGCAGGCGTGGAGCAGAGCTTCAAGGGCAGCCCTGCCCCTCCGTGCCTGGCCTGCCTTCAGCTCCCAGTCTTGGGTCAGAGGCAATCTCTCTGTGGCCCCAAAGCCTCTGAATAGAGGTTCACAAATTCGGCGAGTCTGTAATCCCAGAAGAATGTGGATTACAGTCCTTTGAATAGTCCTGGAGAGTCCTGAGATTAAAGGTAAGTTTTCCTAAGATATTTTGAAGAGCATTTGACTTGGCCGCAGATACTGGTAGAAAGCAAAACCTTGTTACTGGGTTTAGCAGCCTCTCTCCTGTGAGCCCGTTTACCTCAGATCCAGCTCACAGCCACTGGAGGTGCCTAAACAAACCCACATTTTTTCCTTGTTCCTCCCGCCATCCGCGCAGTCCTGCTCCCGGCCCTCTCACGCTCCCCTCTGCTTAATCTCTTCTTCTCATCTGGTGATACGTGCAGTGCCCCTCCTCTGTGCTCCGCCTTTTGTGTGCTGATTGACCCGCTGACGTAATTTACTGGAAGGAAAGGAAAGTATCAATAGCTCAGTCGTGCCTGACTCTTTGCGGCCCCATGGACTGTAGCCCACCAGGCTCCTCTGTCCACGGGATTCTCCAGGCAAGAGTACTGGAGTGGGTCGCCATTCCCTTCCTAGAGGATCTTCCTGACCCAGGGATCAAACCTGGATCTCTTGCCTTGCAGGCAGATTCCTTACCATCTGAGGCACCAGGGAAGTCCAGTTTACTGGGGACAAGAGTTTTGCAGCTGGAGCTGTAAAATGAGTGGATGAAATGGCTTTTCTTCATGTATTTTTAGGTGAATTTCCCCAATAGTGTCAGTGTCTTTAAAAACTAGTAGAAAATAGCCTAGTCACCTTTTCTCCTTTTGTCCCCTTTCAAGTCATCTCAGAAAATTCTCCTTCATACCCCTTTGACTGTATAATTGCCCTAGCTTTGTGAAATAGTATGCCTTCCATTGATTTTCTGAATCTATTTTTAAACTGTCTTTAGATCATTTTATTAAACCTTGGTCATATCGGGAGTAGTTCTTTCTTGCATTTTAAATCTTGCCCCCAAAGCAGTTCATGGAGACAGATTAACTCTCTAAATTCCTGGAATGAATAGATTCAGATTTCACTGATGATAGACTACTGTGTAATACTGATGATGTATTTTTATTAGCAAATGCCCTTATTAAGCCCTTATTTAGCTTTCTGAGAAAAGAGTAGTATTTTGTCCCTTTGTCACTTCTTTACTAAAATTGGAATACATATCAATTAGTGATGCTTTCATCAGCAATTAGCAGTACCTGATGCACTTGAAAAGGTGCTCAGCATCACTAATCATCAGGCAAATGCAAATCGAAACCACAGTGAGACACACCTCATACCTGTCAGAATGGCTGTCATCAAAAAGAACACAGATAACAAGTGTTGGCAAGGATGTGGAGCAAAGGGAACCCTCCCACACTGTTAGTGGGATTATACACTGGTGCAGCCAGGGGAAGGGATAAAGTAGGAGCTTGGGTCTAACAGGCACACACTACTGGATATAAAATAGACAAACAGTAAGGACCTACTGCATGGCACAGGGAACTGTATTCAGTATCTTGCAATTACCTATAAAGAAAAAGATGTTTATATATATTTAGGTAAATATAGATATTTAGATAAATATATATAGATCTTTTGGTAAAATTTATATAATCATAGCTCAGTTGGTAAAAAAATCTGCCTGCAATGCAGGAGACCCAGTTTGATTCCTGGTTAGGAAAGATCCACTGGAGAAGGAAAAGGCTACCCACTCCAGTATTCTGGCCTGGATAATTCCATGGACTGTATAGTCTGTGGGGTCGCAAAGAGTCAGACACGACTGAGTGACCTTCACTCATATAAAGGTTTATATAAAATATTTATATGAAACGGAATCACTTTGCTATAGACCGTAAACTAACACAAGATTGTAAATCAACTATACTTCCATTAAAAACAGTGAATGCAGCCACTGTGGAAAACGTAGGGCAGTCCTCAAAAAACTTAAAATAGAAACTACCACGTGATCCAACTCCCACTTCTGGGTGTATATCCAAAGAAAGTGAAAACACTAACTCAAAAAGATAGCGCACTCCACTGTTCATAGCAGGATTATTTACAACTGCCAAGATAATGGAAACAACATCAGTCCACCACCAGATGAATGGACAAGGAAGATGTGGTCTATGTACAGTGGAAGACCACTCAGTGATAAAAAAAAGAGTGAAATCCTGCCATTTCTGACAATATGAAGGGACCAAGAGGGTGATATGCTCAGAGAAATAAGTCAGAAAGACAACTACTACATGATTTCACTTATAAGTGGAATCTGGAAAAAAAAAAAACCAGTGAACGGACAGACCCACAGAAACGGAGCCTTAGATACAGAGAACAGAGGAGAGAGGGCTGGGGTAAGGAGGGAAGTCAGAGAGGGGATCGAGAGACACAGACTTCCCGCAAAATAAATGCATCAATAATTATGTCATATCTTTACACAGTAACAGATGGTAGCTAGACTTATCATGGTGATCATTTTGAAATGCACAGAGATGTTGAATCACTGCGTTTGTATAACAGGAGCTAACCGTGTTGTAGGTAATTTCTACATAGAAAACAAACAAATGAATAAACAAACTCATAACAAAAGAGATCAGCTTTCTGGAGATCAGTTGGGGGAGGGGAAATGGGATGAAGGCAGTCAAAAGGTACAGACTCCCAGTGACAAAGTGAGGAAGTGCTAGGATAGAATGAAGCACATGATAAATAAAATAGCACTGCTCTATGTTGTATATTAAAGTTGTTAGGAGGATAAATCCTAAGAGTGCTCATCTCAAGGAAAATCTTTTTTCTTCTCCTCCTTTAGTTTTGTGTCTGTGTGAGACAATGGATGTTCACTAAACTTCCTGTGATCACTCTTTCATGATGTATAGACATCATATCACTACAATGTCTATCACTGGAACTTACACAGTGCTGTGTGTCAATTATATCTCTGAGAGACTGGAAGAAAAAAATGGGGGGAGGAAACCATTACCTGGTGAATGGTGGAATGTATGATTCATGCTTAACAAGACAGTCAGAGGTAGCGGGGACCGGGAGAGCTCGGCCCAGCCACTTTGTGCTCAAGAGCCTCGGCTCGCTCTGTCTTTGCCTCCTCTCAGGCCTTGGATGCCGCCCCTCTGCTTCATGCCTGCTGCCCATGTCATGGGTTGCAGCTTTAGGAATACGAGGGAAGGGCTGACACCAGCGATTCTCTCGAAGCCCCTCTTTATCAGAAAACGAGTTGCTTCCCCAGGAGCGTTCTCCTTGCATCTCGGTGGCCAAAGCATCACACAGCCCATCTTAGCTGCAAGAGAGTCCGGGAGAGTAAGTGTTTGGTTTTATCAACCTTTGTAGTGGGCGGGACGTAAGAGAGGAGGGCTTTGAAAGTGGCTTTTGACTGGCCAGACCTTCATGTGTGTCCGAGCTGTCATCCTAAAGTACACACTCACACACACATTTTCATTTCCAGGGAGGAGATACAGCTTCAGAGTGTGGGTTCTAAAGGATCTGAGTCCAGATCCTGGCGTCACTTCTTTATCTCCTGGATTTACTGCTGCCTCTCTTTCCTTTACTGTAAAACAGGGATAATAATGTACCAGTTGTATATGATTCTTGTATTAATAATCTGCAGTTAACGTGTGGGTACATTATAAATGTCATCTTCACCAACCAAAGCTTGGCACCCCAACATACACTCTGACCACACCCAGACTAGCTTAAGGGCTAGTGGCTTTTCCCTACGTTTGAGCAAAAAGTTTGTAAAAGTAGCTTCCACTAGCTTCAGCTTCCTAATTATTAACTTAAAACTGAGATATATATACAAAATCTCAATCTTACCTGACAAACCTCTAAAAGCTTTCTTGTTGTAACAGACTTTGCCTGCCTTTGTTGAGATGATTTATAACTGGTGTGTTCTTTTGTTTAGAAAGAAAATACTTTAGGCCTCTACAAATCCTTCCTGTGTTGAATCACTGTGATGGGAGACTTATTTGGACTACAGTCTATCAAACTGAGAATCCAAGACCCTTCTACAATTTGCAGCATATATATAAAAATAAAATAGCTCTATATAGTGATTTGGATACAAACTTAAAAAAAAAGAAGCAGGATTAGAGAAAAAAAATCTCTACAGTGTTCTTCTGTTATTCTTAGAAAAAGATACTGGGAGACAGGAAAATCAAGGAGTCATTTAAAACATAGTAGACACTCAACAAACAATTGATGAAAAAAAAATATGCAGAATGAAGAAAAGCATTAGGAAATAATTTGAGGTTTCACAAGAAGGCAACTCTTAGAAGCTGGTAATCCTAGAAATGCAGTCACAGGAAACCAGGGCAGCTTCCAGGAAGTGTGAGTGGTCTTGTCAGGCCAGACGTGTAAGTCCATCACCAACTGCTTCCTGAAGCTGGGAGTGGGGAATGGAGCACCCCCCTCCCCAGGTTCAGGGGAGGCCTCGGCCACGGCCTTTGAGGTGGCCCCAGTGGCTGAAGGCCTGAGCACCTGCTGGTCCCCAAAACCAGAGTCCACATTGTCTGGTGCTGAGCATTCAGGAAGCATGTTTTCTCCATCTGCACACCATTCCTGCAAAAACGCGAACAAAGGAGAGCCCGCGTTCTCTCCTTGAATCGGTGAACTCCTCGGTCAGTTTCCCGAGAGCCAGGCCTTCCCTGGGCCGCAGGCTGGCTGGTGCCTTGCGCTGTGACAGTGTCCTGACCCCTCTCTCTTCTCTGACTCCCCGCAGAAAACTCGCTACGAGATGTACGTCCGCCTCCTGAAAGAGGGGGGCCTGGAACTCCTGAGCGGCGGCGGGGGCGGGCCCGCGGGCCTGAAGAAGTCGCACTCCAGCCCCTCACTGAATCCAGACACCTCTCCAGTCACCGCCAAGGTCAAGCGCAACGTGTCGGAGAGGAAAGACCACCGACCTGGAACGCCGAGCATTAAGCAGAAAGTCACTTAGGATCCATCTGTGGCCAGGAAGTGCTGGTCGTGAAGCAAAACAAGAGGTTTTCAAGATCTTTCTGGTAAATCCGTGAATATATTAAAAAAAAAATAATGTCTGTGACTAAAATGGTGCATTAGTGGCCTTTCCCATTGTGTTTTTGTAGTTTCTGTACAGGTCATCTCTTTGCTCTTGATTTCTTTGCTTTCATGACTTTTGCTCCCTGATGACTAATGCACCTTTTGTGGGGGGGCAGGGGGAGCACGATTTCAGATGGATTGTGTTACTTCTCCTCCGGTTCCTCTCCTTTGCACTCTGCTCACTTGTTTTGTGTATTCTCAAATCAGCTGTTACACTTTTTTTAAAAACAAACAAACATTGAATCCATTGTGAAACACTTAACTGGACAAACCTTTGTAGTTTAGAAAATTCTAGCCAGAGCTGGTAAGAGCCTTTTCTTGTGAAACCTTGCCCAGTCACCGAGGCAGAATCACGCTCAGAAGTCCGCTTGAGAGTTACCGTCGAGGGAGGCGCCATCGCCCTGTGACCCCCGGGGCCTCTGAGCACTTGGTGTTGAGTCTGGCCCGACAGGGTGGGATGCAGGGGGGCGAGGGCCTCAGGATGGGGGATGCAGGGATGCAGGAAGTGCGCTAGCTCGTTGGAAGTGTGGATTCCATCTCAGCCCAGCAAGGAGGAGGGAAGTGGGGTCTCAGAGGCTGAGGCAAGATGGCCGCAGGTCCACTGTGTTTTCCAAACACAGCATCTCAGCAGTGACAATGGACTCTGGGGGCTGCCACAGCGGGCGTGCGTTTGGTCCGCAGGAAATTGTTACCTCACCCCCGCAGGGTCCAGACGAGGGATCCAGAGCCGTCTGCGATGGACAGCCTGCCAGTCAGAAATTAGATTCTTTTACATACATGAGCACGACTGGTTGTAAGAATTTGGGGTCTTCCCAACAAAATAATATCAAAACGGAGCCCGTCTCTCCTTAAGGCAAAATAAGAAAGGAAGACGTAGTTTTTCCCTAGAGTTCCTTGGCAATAGGATGTTGATTCTCCGTAGTTAAACCTGAAAGGAATAAAATCTGAAGGAATTACGGTTGCAGAGCCGAGGACTGTCTCCCGGTGGCGAACGCAGCGTTCCCTGGTCTGGTCTTGCCTCCGCCTCTGTGACCGCCGCTTTGCCCCCTGCCCTGAACTGTCCCCAGAGTAAATCCTTGATTCTAAATCGTTTCTTCACCTCCGCTCAGAACAGTCATAAGCTTGTTTGAGGGACAGTCCCTTTGAAGATCAGGGCGATAAACAGAACAGCATGTTACTGAGGAGGAGAGAGGGATGAAAAGTGAGCCCACTTTGAGTTAGAAGTTTCTGATTTTGAAACTTGAAAACTTGGCCATCCTTAAACCTAGAAGCTCCACAACTTCGGAACTGATAGAATCACTCTGAATATTCTTCTGTCCCACAGACATTTGCCCTGGTTGCACTCAGTTTACTGGTTAAGGTACTATGACCAAAGATTCAGGGACTCTGCGCGGATAGCTCAGTTCCAGGGAATCAGAGAAAACCCGCTTTTGAACCCTGCAGTTTCAGGTGGCATCTTGTCCTGATGCACCAGCGTTTACACAGGACTATTCATTAGCACTTCTGTCGGCCGCAGAAACGCCCGTGTTTGCTGGTGCCCAGGAGAGAAGCCCCTCTCTGAGGTTATAGCTGCTTGCTTTGTGGCATTTTTGCCACGTCTTTGAAAAGCTCCCTCTAACCCTCTTGTCTTGTTAGCTAAAGGCAGTAACTGAATTTGTTTCAAGAAACCCAGAAACACACAGGGCGGTCACCAACATGTCCCATGTACCTGGTTCTTTCTTTGTAGTGCTTCTGACTGAAGCCACGGTTTCTACAAGGAAATAGTCTTTCTTCCCAGAATCGGAATCATCCGTGTGTGTGTTTTCTGCCTAGATCTTTATCCTAAGCAGAGGGGGCGGGGTACCGAGGCCACGTCGTCTCTCCAGTCACTAAAGAGAAAGAAGTGCCCTTGACTGGCTTGAATGTGTGTGCTCCCAGTGTGTGTGTCTGTGTGTGTCGAGTGTCTCCGTGTGTGTCCCTTAGAGTCTGTCCCGGACGCGGAATGGTACTTGCTGCGGCGTCTAGGCAGCATCGCATCCTGGTCAGCATCGGCAGCTCACTGCGTGACTCACTGACGCCGTCTCCAGAGCTCCTGGACGTGCTGATGGAGAGACGGCCGAGAGGGGCGCTTTGCAAGCTGCCGTATGTGCCGTCTTCCCACAGTTTGTCCCGGGAAGCAGCCGCAGAGGTCAAGCTGTGGGCCAGGATCCCAGACTGCCGTCGCTAGGCCAACAGCTGAGAGCCGCCCCTGCCCGCCCCGAGGTCTCTGGGCTGTCTGGCGCAGCGCCCCTCGCAGGCCAGGAGCTTGTCCTGCGGGAGGCAGGGCCTCTCCAGTGACTGGACGCTGCGAGGCTTGCCCCGAGCCAGCCGTGACTCCTCTGTGACCCCTGCTTCTCTGGGGTGTCTAGTCAGGGGACACGGAAATCCTTCCCCTTCCCGGCTCCCCGATCACGGTACAGGGGGCCCGGCTTCCTCCGGAAGGCCCTGCCCCCAGCCTTCACCCATCACCTCACCCGTCCCTCAGCACCAGAGCCTTGAGGTCACCCTCCATCTAATAGGTCCTCTTTACAGAAATACACCTCACATCAGCTTTTAGTCTAGAAAACCTTGAGAGTCACCAGAATACCTTGGTGACAGTCGTGTGGCAGAATTGCCTATTTTAGAAGCGGCTGTCTCAGCGTGGCCCCCCACCTCGTGTGTGGACATTTCCAGGAAGGGCCAGGAATTCTCTTTAGCAATCAAGACTTAGTTACTAGGGTGCAGAGTCCTTATTTTACTGCCAGCCACAGACATCATTTGAAGTATGCTTTTTTTTTAAACCGTCATATGCTGACTCTTAGCAATGCCTGATTAGACCAAGCAACACCTCTGTGCGTCTGATTAACCTCAGTAAAACCAGCGTGTGGAGAGGCGTCTGGGGGACTGCAGCCCAGCAGACCTTTTCTGTTGCTCTCAGCTAAAGAGGATGGGCGACCGTGAAGGGCCCTCTGTGCTTCTCCAGCTGCGACCCTTGCTCCCGACACGAGGCCTGTTTCCTAGTCTGAAGGGAGGTAAAGGAGTTGATTCTGGGAGAGAGAATCCAGCCGGCTCCCCAAGGCCGACCAAGAGTCGGCCTCCGGAGGGTGTGTTTCACCCTGTGGCCGAAGCAGGACCCCTGGAGCCTTGGGTGGGGGGGGACCTGCCCAGCAGGGAAGATGCCTCCTGCTGGCCCTGGCCTGCCCGCTCTGGCCACAGAGAGGAGGGAGCCGTGCTCATGTCCAGCAGGGCTGGCTTTGGCCTCACACTGCACCTCCTCTCTGCCTTCACCCCTAACCAGAGGCAGCTGGGGAAAAGTTGACCTTCGAGAAGCTTCTCGATGGTCTTACTTAGAACCCCTTCCTTGGGTTTAGTTACTAGGTCCCTGGAATTGGATTCTTTTGGTGTTTTTCCTTGTGGTCACCAGTTAAGCTTTTCTAAGCCTGAGTTTGCAGGAGGTTTCTCAGCCCTGAGGGTCCGGCGCTCCACAGTGGCGCTTCTCGGGGACCCGGCCGGGGCTCGGCGGTCGGGGGGCCAGCTTCCTCGCCGTACCAGCGGTCAGCCCCTGGTCCGCTCGCTTTTCACTCGACAGAGTGTTTGTAGTCACTGCCTCAGCACCGTTAGGCGGGAACCAGAGTGTCCGCGAGGACTGGCTCAGCGTCTAGCCTGGCTAATGGCGAGGGTTCTCCGCGGATTCTGAGTTCCTCTGACAGAAGATCAGGCCGAGTTGTGAGGAGCCGGGCCTCCGCGCCTTCCCGGTCCCAAGGCTCTCTGGCTGGCTGTCTCCCGGGCCAGCAGCCCGCCCCGGGCAGTCACCCCCGGAGGACCTCAGAGATGAGCGGCTCACACTGTGGAATAACCCCACGGCCTCATGGGGGAGGCGCCATGAGGGGCCTCTGCCCTGTCTCTGCTCTCTCCCCCGCGTCTCACTCTCAGAAGACTGAGGTCCAGAGCCGTTGCCGCTTTCCTCCAGGGCCCAGAGCACCCACAGCCCCAGGGGGCCGCCTCCGCCTGGGACCGCGAGCAGCCAGTGCCTGCAGGGAGGGCGTCCTCAGAGGGAGAGAGGCGGGAAAGACGCGGCGCTTCAGGGCCGTCTGTGGGCTTGACCGCGATGGCCGGCAATAGCACAGTCAAGTAGTTGTATATACGGGAGGTTTCTTGGGTCTCTTTGGCTCATCCTCTGAGATTTAAATGCGCATCTGTAGCGTTGCTGGCTCTTGGAGAATGTTTATTTTAATAGTATGTCAGACATCAACGAGTATGCGTCCTGTCACCTGCCTGTGTCGTAATTGTGGGTATTTATAGTTGTATGTACCTATATGTGTCAATGTGTAGATTGTACATCAGTATACAGTGTATGTACATCAAATTTATTTTTGTCCTTAACCAGTGTGATATGAAAAGCAAGTAAAAACCTCATAGGATTGAATATTTAATGCAGTTTTTTGAGAGTCTATATAGTGGTACTGTTTTATTAAACTTAAATTCAAATGATATTTTGATTAATTTTTTTTAATAATAAGATTTTATGCTAGAAAATTTCATCTTTGAGCTTTGACTCACCAGAGCAAAAAGGACTCTGAACTAACTTTGTTAAACTATTTCAGTGTACTGTGTACAATACTGGGGTGGGGGGTAGCTCATTATAATTTGAAATATACAGAAAGAAAGAAAGAAAAAAAAAAAAACCACAGGCAAACCTGTGCAGTCTTAGCAACTTCAGTATTAAGAGCACTTAAAGTCAAACTGACAATTTGGGGCTTATTACAAAATGTGATGCTTTAGAGCACACGTTCTTTATTGTTGTAATTAGTCCAGAAAAATAGAGCTTTCAGAAGAATCAGCTAAGTGCCCGGCATATCATTTACATACCTGTGACTATTTTACTGCCCTCCCAGCCCTGCGTCCCACCCTCTTCACCTTGAAGAACATCACCAACTCCTGCAGTAAGCCAGGCTCCCCGAGACCCAGGACTGCCCTCCGGGTCTATGGCTGCACCAGCTAAGTGTCAAGTCACAGGTAAAAGGATGTCAGGACAGACTGTGGACCAGGTTAAAACTATAATATTTTTATACTTAGGTCTCTTTTCCCGCCTCTCCCCAAAGAAGAGCCGCTGGCCTTAGTTGTCTGAGCTTACTGCTTATCTTAACGGTATATAAATAGATCACTAGAGAGTAAAATTTTATTAACCAGCATGTTGGTGTAATTTAAAAAAAAACTGAGTGTGTGTGTGAGTGAGTGGTTGAGTGCAGTGCGTTTGTCTACACACGCTTGCCCGTCGTCCCGCGGGTCCGATTCAGAGCGTGGGAGCCGTGGCCTGAAAGGTCTGCCCCGGCCCCAGACTGCAGTGGTGGTGGTTACACTTGAGTCCTTTTCTTAATTAACTCTGTAGTCTCAAACTATTTTTGCAGTTGTATCTTATTTCCTCATCTGTCCTTGACATGCGGGGCACTGGCCCTGCGTCCCTGCGGGGTCTGTTCCACTAGAGTGTGTTTCCTCCTGAGAACCACAGTGATTTGCAGAAGCATCCCTTTGATTCAGAAACCACATACAAAAAGGAGTAGCAAACTTTAAAATTTTAATGGGGGGGTCTTAGTCATTTGAACTGTTGGGACTTTTAATATAAAGTCAAGCAACCCTTTGGCCTGGATAATAATACCTCCTGCGTGGAGAGTATGTATGCAATTGACTCTAACGCCCTTAGGATACTTTTCTAAGTTGTAGGAACAAGAGTGAAAGGGGAAGGTGTGTGGCGCGGGCCTCTGCCGGGGGGGAGACCCGCTGTGGCCTGTCCTCTGCCCCGAGGGCCCTGGTACACGGGGGCCTCCGGCCTGTGTACACACGCGTGCACATGTGTACACAGTGAGTGTCCCGAGTCATGTAAACTTGAGACGAGAGTGCCAGATCAGTGCTTCGGGTATGGACCGAAGTGGCCACGGCCTGCAGGCCCCCCAGGGCAGGAAGGACTTGGAGAGACGCTGCGCGGGGAGGGGCTGGCTGGCAGGTGGGGGCCCTCCGCTCCCCAGCGTCCTGGGTGGCGGGGCGGCTGCTCGGTAGCCGGTTTCTTTGTGAGGGGCTCATGGGGAGGAACACAGCCCTCCGCGGCCCCTGAGCTGGGCAGAGGGGCTGGATGCGGGAGGAGCCTGGCTGTGACAGCTTTCTCTTTGCAGGCTAGAGGCTCAGCTTTCACCAACAGTGTTATAAAAGAAAAAGCACTTTAGTGTCAAGCTCGGTTCAGGTCCCACTGGGCCTGGGCTTCTGCTCGGACCCCGTGGAGGCTGGCAGGTGACTCTCTGCAAAGAGGGGCTCCTGAGAGCCCAGGGCTGGTCCTCGGGCGCCTTCCCGGGCTGCAGGGACCCAGCTGTCCTCCCAGCCGACCCCACCGAGGGTGCCCGAGTCCCCGCGGTGACACATGACCGAAGCCAAGACCGTGTCCTTTGTCTTGGCGAGAAGCAAGGTGGCACTTTGGCCTGTAGCCAGGGGATGGATGATATCTTTGCCTTTGCGCCCGGGTTTCTGGAAGCGGATAAGGCTTCATTTCCGTGGAGGGGTCACGGGAGGCAGCCCCCTGTGGCAGGTCCTGCTGGGGCCCTGTGAGAGCTGCCGGGCAGAGGCCCCAGCACGGTCCTCCCGCGCTCCCTCCGCCTGGGGGTTCTCGGAGGCTGTTTCCAGAGCGGAATTGACAAAAGCGGAGAGCTGGTACCACAGCCCTGCTTCCTGCAGGGCAGGCAGAAGGGCGGTGGTGTGCAGCCTTTACCACATAAAACAAGCCTTGAACTTTGCCAGCCTATGAATCGGGTTATGTTTACTGGGGCTCAGATCCTGCCTTTACGTTCAGGGTTTCCTCCCCAGTCCCTTCAGCTTCGTTGCGGTCCTGGTGCCACAGGTCCCTGCACATTGTGAAAAGTGGTGACCAAATCGCAGCCTACTCCATTTCAGCGGCCAGACTGTCACCCTGGCAGACTCGGGCGAGCTCGTGGTACCGACCCCTTTAGGAAACCTGTTCCTGGTCGCCCACCAGCCTCGAGACGCGCCATCTCCCCAAGAAGCGCGGCGTTGGTGGTGGTCACCTTTTGAGGGGAACAGTCATTTCTGTGGATGTTGTTAAAGTGTTGGAAGAATATTTTGAAAATTAAGTTTACATTTTACAATCACTTTATTTTTTATTAAAATAGTTGTATATAAATATTGCCCTATTTCACTGTTGTTGAGGTAAAGCTAAACCATGCAGACCAGTGAGTCACCTGATGTGTATAGAAGCTGTGATGTATAGAGTACATTTCTCTCCTGTGTAAAATGTTCATGAATATAACTGTTCCTGTGTTTTTATAAGTTGGAGATAATTTGTTGTTTTACAACAACAGAATTTATTGCATTTAAATGGTTTTTATGTAATAGAAATCATGCAAAATAGCGAAGGATTTAAAATATGTATATGATATATGTAAATGTACAAACTTTAGAAAGAAATAAATCCAACCGATTTCCGTCATTTTGGAGAAACGTTATTTGCTTATTTAGTAAGCGGCTAGAATAATAACTCTTAACAACTAACACAACACGACACATCCAATCACATGAAAAGCCAACCACAACCCCACTGCGAGAGCTTTGGCCTGGGTGGCTGGCCGGAGGGGGTGAGAAACTCAGACTGTTAATGTTAACCCTGCCACACCCGCACTGATCTCTGTGAAAGTGTGCTGAGAAGCCTGCCGCCTTCACGGGGGCTCTGGGGATGGAAGGATGAAGCTGTTTGAAGTAATTTCAAGAATGCGCATGTCCTCGCTCACCGAGGGGCGGAGAGGTGACTGTCACCCTCCCAGGCAAGAGGCTCAGACGTGCATGCAGGTCCTAGGAACCCAATTCAACGCCCAACATAACATCTGTTGACTTGGAAAACGAGAAAAATAAACTTCCACCCCAATCATTTAACTTCTGAATATTAGAGATCTAGGAGGAGTGAATCTCACAGGGACGGATGGCTGGGGATGGGGGAGGGCCGTGGCTGCCACCAAAATTCCTCCAAATGTGAATCCTCATGCACAAATACGGAGTCATATCATACACATGAAAGTTACACGTTATATGTTGATGCTATCTTGATTTTAAAAATTAAGAAACAAGGCAAGAATCCTCATTGCCCAGTTGGGTGTCTTCTGGAGGTAGGGGTTTTGTGTATCTTGTCATATTCTGGTTATTGCACAATTAATATTAGAACCAAAGGAACTAAAGAGATCATTTTTGAAAGATGAAAGTATATGAGAGGAAACAAAAACACAGGGCCAATTAAGATATTATAATGAAAACAGCAACAACTCAAAA